AGCCTAGAAATTTCAGGGTAGTCAAGTGTGTTGCTTTATTCTTAGTGCTGTAAATGACCCAGTAGATCTGGAAGGATTTATTCATAATGAGTAAGATAGCTCTCCTTTCGCATTATTTATGATAAATTTATTTTAAATTAAACTTAAAAGTATTAATGTTACCTGATAAAGTCAAATTAGTATGGAAGAATGTACAATATAAGTTAAAAGTTTTTATGACTAATTTTACTTTATAATTAATCATTGTTAACAGTTTTATACTTGGCTGTGTGAGTAAAGTGTTTTCTCAATTCATGACTTGCATTTTTGGCACTACTATACTTTGCAGTTTGGGATTGTCCTGAGCAGTGCTTCACTTTAGTCACTGTATCACAGTCACTGACATCATTGAAAAAGCCCTAGTATATTTACTAAAGCCACCTGGGGAGTAGGGTAGTATTGGAAATTTAGAAAATATACCATATATCTTAGAAAAGATGTATCTGTGATTTTAGCTTTACACATTAACTATTGACTATGCTGTAAAGGAAGAATATTTGAGCACACATATATTTCTTAAGGAAGGCCTAGAGAAAATCAACTTGGGAAGGTCTATGCTTACTTCTAAAGTGTTATTATAAGAATATTCAATCTTGTCTGCTCTCCACTATGGTAATATTACTGTGTTATGATTTTACTTAACTTTTTTTTTTTTCTTGAGTGTTTTTTGATTTTTGAATTGTGCACTCTGGCTTGGCTGGATTTTTATTTTGAATTTTGTGCAGCTGAATGAGAGGGCATATTCCTCCAAAGATTTGCTAAGGTTTTTCTTTGGCACCTGGAGAAACAACCAACCCAGAATCACTGTAACTTTTCTGGTTGGGATTTTCTGGAGCAGGTATGTATATTTGAACCTTGAATCTTTTTGTGTAGGTCCTGATTACAAATTCTCAGGTGATGTTTTTCCCTCGTGTAGACTCCAGACTGAGACTGGCTAACTTCCTTGTCTAATCTTCGCTGGCCAGCAGGCACATTTTTTACTAGACTGCCTTTTTATGAGGTGGAGCTTAGTCCCACTCTCATGTAGAGGGGTCTAAGTTATAATTCTTCATCTCATTCAGGCCAAGGCCTAAACCACTGCCTTTAAACTTTTAGGTGCTTGTCAGCACTTGCTTATCAGTTTGCTTTCTCCCTACATGTTGGCCCATGGGGATTTTCTTGAGGAAAATTACTAATATTTTTTATTGGAGGGGATATTTTTGGGTTTTTATTTAGCTTTTTAAAGTATTTTATAAGAGAACTATTTTCAGATTGTCAGGTCTCCATTTGGTTAGACATCCAAGGACTCATCTATTTTCTAACTTCTAGGCATTTCCTATAACTTTTGGTTTGCTAATCTTTTTCTCTCAGTTCTCTACCATCTCACCTACAGTAGTTATTGTTTTGTTCTTTTAAAAATACACCTTTTAAAATAAGTTCATTGGGACCTTAGGTGGGAGGAACTGTAGATGTCTGTGTCTAGTCTTCTGTTTTGCTGGACATGTGTTCAATAGTTACGTCTAAGCCCTTTAGGGCTAACTGAGGAAAAGTAAATGTCTGTGAATGCCTTTCCACTTAACTGTGATTTTCAGTTTGAACTTAAAGAGCATAGTTTTTGGTTATAAAAGAGATAAAGGGGCAGGAGTGGAGGATGATGCTCAGACCTTTGTAATTGAGCAAGTTCTCACTGAGGTAAAGGATCATAGATAGCTGTTAACCTCCATAGAGATTTTACTGTAAAGTCTAAATATATATAGCAATTGACACTACACTGATTTGAAACCAGAATTTAAATTTCATTCAGTAAGTATTTATTAACTATAGTATACCTGGCATAATACTGAGAACTAGAGTACAAAAACAAGTTACACTATGTCTGTCCTCACAGAGCCCACCAATAAGTCAGTTCTCATTATTTGTGGTAGTTACATTTGTAGAGCCTCTTCCAACACTGAATTATCAAATAACTGAACTACTTCTTTAGGGGAAATAGAAATTACATCCCAATAAGCCTTTGGTTGCAGTATTTTCATCAATTGATCAGTAAATAACCTTGTTTTATGTACTTTTGTCCAAGACACCTTATTGTATATTATTAACACTCTTTGACATTGAACTCACAGCCAACCTTATTATAACTCTTTCCTGAATGAAATTTATCTAACATGTATTCTCCAAAGGGCACATTACATAAAGTCTATTGTTAAGAACACCAGACTGAGCTTCAATACTGTGATTGGGGTCTTTTTTGATAGCAGACACACAAATGAAAAGCATAAAGGTGCAAAAAAGGTGGCACTAAATAGACTGTGGAAAAGATACTTCTTTTTAGTATGAGGCCTGAAACAAGAACGGTAAAGTGTTGCCTTGTTCAGCTTCAGATATGACTGTGAAATATTAGGTGACTCAAATATTTTGCAGCTCTGTACATATCCACAAGTGATCATAAGAGCTTTGTGAGTATTGTTTTTTGTTTCACAAATAAATTTTAGCAAGTAGACCAATTCACAAAATACAGAATTCACAAATACTGAGGGTTAACTGTATACTATGTTCTGTACAATAAATGGTATGTGTCCTGAATCTGCTGGAGTGGGTTAGGGAAGTCTTCATTTGGGATGATCAGGTGAAATTATAGCAGTATGAAGGAATAGATTTAGATGATAGCACATGGTCCATTGTGGATGGAATTATCCCTGAATTGGGATAGAAGGGGATGTTTGGACTTGATAGTCAACAGGGAAGGATGTGAGGGCTCTAATGCCATTTTAAGGAATTTGAATTTTCTAGACATTGAGGGACCAGTGAATAATTTTAGCAGGAGAGAAACATGGTTGTATTTGTATTTAGGAGAGCTCTCTGGTGTTAGTATTGGAGAGTCTTTCAATCCAGTTTCTATCATTACTAATAGTACCACAGACTGGTAAGTTTTGAAGAAAACGTGAGTATTTTGACTTACACTTATGGAGGTGTAAGATTGTGGGACCATATTTGCCGATAGCCTTCTTGTTGGCAGGATCCTTGAGGAGGTACAGAGCATCACATGGCATGAGACAGGGAATACATATGTGTATCCTGTTCTCTTTCCTTCTTGCAAAGCCACCAGTATTCAATCCTAAGGACTCCATCTTGATGACTTGAATTCTAATCACCTCTCAAGGGCCCCACTTCTAAATATTATTTTCGGATTAAATTTCCATACTCTTAATATCTCACAATGGACATTAAACTCCATCATGAGTTTTAGAGGAGACAACTCATTCATAGCCGGGACAGATGAAGTAACAAAAATAAATAGAAGATTTTAGATTTTAATGTGAGAGATGATCAGAGTATGAACTAAGGCAATGACAGAGGAGATAGAGAAAAGGGGGTATTATGTGAGAGATATGTAAGATAATAAATTGAAAGGTCTTGGTGACTCATTAGAGATAAACAGTGGAAAGAAAGTAGATTGAACAGCTATACATGGGGCCATTGATTAAGAGAGGGGATACAGGAGGAAGACTGTATTTAGTTATTGGAGATGTTGAGTTTATGGTCTTCCTGGGGCCTTTCTGTGGAGATGTAGGCAGGGAAATATGAGCTTGTGAGATACAGCTTTGAGAGACATTAGACGCTGGTAACTATTTGAGTGCCTGTTGTTCGTCAAGGCAGTGTCCTAGTGCAGAACCACTAGTGAACCTGTACTGAACTGCTACTGAAAGGCAAAACACAAGCAATTTCAGATGAGTATGATGATGAAAATGAAGCCAGCAGGATGGAGAGAGCTATGAGGCTATGTGTGTGATGGAGCTGCTAGTTCAGCTTGCATGTTGGGGTATGCTTTCTATGGAGGTGACATTTACTATAACAAAATAAAGAGAATATGTGTGTGGGTTTTTGGAGTGTCATTTCACACAGTGAGATCAGGAGATAGTAAAGATGAGAAATGAATGACAGGTAATGACTTTGGTGTCTTTGAAGAAAAGAAGGGAAGACACTGGCTAGAGATGAGTAGACAAGAATTACATGGATGCTGTGCCAGTTGTGAGGCACTGGAAGGCATGGGTAAGAGTATGATGTTTTTATAAGTGCAGGGGGAAAACCTTTGCACAGTTTTAGCAGGAGAGTAACATAATTTTAACAGGAGAGTAATTAGGATGTCTTTTAAAATGATGACTCTATATTGAGAACTAGAGAGGAAAATAAGAAACCAGTCAAGTGACAACTACAGCAAAGATGGTGATCGCTTAGAGTAGCCAGTGGGTAGCAGTGGACAGATGGGGGGAGGTCAGGTGGCTTTTCTTCAGTCAGTTTCATCATGATTCAATTTAAAAACCAGTTTATCAGTGGATCTGTTATGAATTCTAGTGGTTTTGTAAGCACATATATAAAATAAGTGTTACTTGGAAAACAAACAATTGGTGACATTCATTCTAAAATTATATAGGGTTTGAGATACTAAAAAAGATTAAAATTTATTTAATAAAATGTGACAGTTCATATTTATTAGTCCTTATTATATGGGTGAAAACACTTTCAGATGGTTACAATTAAATTATAATAGTACCTACTTTTTAAATAATGATGTCTTAACTTGCTTTTATTTAAAAGTTAGGTGAATAAAAGTTTCTTTAAAGCAGGACTGCTACATTGTGAGAGCACATTAGGGACTGCACTATTTATTTGAGCTCTGTTTAAAAAGGATCTCTGTAATTTAGCTTTTTTTCCTGTCATGGCACTTTCAGAGGATAGTTTGTAGTGGGGAATGATGGGGGACTAATAGACCATTTAAAAGGCAAGGTAAAAATTCTGCCAAAGGATGGGGACTGGAAATTGTGATGAGAATGACTTTGAGATTTTAATAAGGTAGAATGAAAAGATTTGGAGAAGAATGAGATTCTAGAGGTTATGGAAAAGAAAAAGTTGTATGTTTTTGAGATTATAAACTTTGGAGAGAATGAGCAGATGGTGATGTCATAATACAGACAGAGGCAGAATCTATAAGATGGGTAGGCTTGGTAGGGTGGGTGAGTAGTTTTGAAAATGGTAAATTAAAGCCACCATCTTTGGGCCTCCCAGGGAAAATATATTAAGAAGGCAGTTGGAGAAAAGTGAGTACCATAACTGAGAATGGAAATCAGGTAAAAACTAGTTGATGTCCTAGAAATAATTGGGCTCTTTCAAGAAAAGAATGAAAACTTGAGGGATACCAACAGCAGTGGTAGTCTTTTCTTAAGGATGAGGATAGATTGTGTGACTGATTTGTGGGGTCATTCTTAATCTTATTTAAGAACTTTGAGGAAACCTATAATTGAGTGGAGAACTGAAAAGATCACACACAGTGTGGACTGTTCTGTAGAGAAGCATGGTATTGAGAAAAAGGTGGAAGTAAGGATGTGACTTAAAAGAGAAATGGGTTTCAAACTAGGGACTCTTAAAAATAATTACTTCAGGATGGGTATCAAATGAAGAAAAAATATTAAAGTAGTAAAAGAGGAACAACCCGTGGATCATGGGCCCAGCAGTGGACAGGAAGGGTATGACTCATTGCACAGGTAAACCTTGTAGAAGAGGAAGGGTATGTTTTTTCCTGAGGTTTGAGGAGAAGAAATAAGGAAGGATGTGGATATATTTAATTCTACAAGTGGAAGGGATTGTCAATAAACCATAGGTGATAGTTTTTTTTCCTTTTTTAACAAAATACATTGACAATTTAGTATGGTAAATGTTTAAAATAGGGAATATGAGGTAACCCAAGGGGCAAATATAGAATTCTGCAGCTACAGTATGGAGCCTTGCTAATTTTTTATGATCGGGCAGTCTGTGAATACCAAAAAAGTAAGGATAAGAGGAGAGGAAGGAAGACATTGAAAGATCTATGAAAATAATAGGTCAGAAATGATTGCCTCATTTTGTGCAGGATCACCAATATTGAATATGTGCAGGTAAGCAATAACCAGGCCACCGGGCATATCTTTTCAAAAGTCTAAATGTAAGCTACATCATTAATACTGTTTTATCAAACTAAAGTATTTCAGTTTTGAAGCAGAAAGTTATCATTAGAGAGTCGGGCTCATGAAACATTTTTCAATACTTGAAACAATATATAAAATTTTCAGTTGCGTAAAAGATACAAATTGTTACATATTTAGTCCATATTTCTCCCAATACTTTTTAAAGCTTTGATACCTTAACTGCTAGAAATGAGGGCTGTTGCAGATACATAGTTGTCCATAGTATTTACACTTACTACAAGGAACATTCTGTACTGGAATTCTCTGTGGTATGCCTGTGCCTCACTATCTTGCTACCTTAGTATTTATACCTAGGAGAGATGACTGAGAGGCCTTACAGTGGTAGAGAAAAGTAGAAAAGAGAATTTGTTTCCCACTTCTTTTTCACCTTCAAAAATGTTTTGTTTGATTTTTTTTTTCTTTTTTTTGGTGGTGATGGTGGGTACTGAGGATTGAACCCAAGGCCTTCACACTGAACTGGCCCCAGCCCAGTCTCCCAGAATTGTCCAGGCTAGCCTCAGGCTTGCAATCCTCAAGCTTGTAATCTTCCTGTCTCAGCCTCCCAGAGTGCTAGGATTAGAGGTATGCAGCACCAATCCCAACCTCTGTGCTTATTTTTAATGCAGTGCTTTATACATTTTTGTGGTGTTTTGCTGAGTGACTTAGAGAGTGGTATAAGCAAAAGTGTTGAATGAAGGAAGAATAAAAATTAGAAATTTATTAGTTTATTCTGTTCATTTATAAAATGCTAATAAGACTTCTCATTTTAGTATAACATAATACATTGGTCTGAATTGTGTTTGATTAAAAGTCACTGATTTTTTTGAGCTATAGTTCCATGTTGGAATGGAATTGGTAGTGTATTAGTTGAGAAATGATTTATATTGAAACTAGTTAAATATGTTAGTAAATAGAAGCAGTTATATGTTAACTGAGATTGACCAAAAAGTTTCCTTTTGTGTAAATGTTTATATTTACAAATATAGAGAATAGTCATATCTTTTAAAAATTGAAAATATTCTTTTAAATACTGATTTTTGCAAGTTATGTTTTAGTCCACTATTTTACTAAAAACTTATTCCATGCCATGCATAATACATACACAAAGAAGAATTTAACAAAACGTATTGTCTAACAATAGCTTTGCATTCTCCCAAGTTTTTATCTTCAAAGAAAAAGACCTAGTTATTTTGTTTGTATTGCGGTGGTGCTGGGAATCAAAAGCAGGGTCTCTGGCATGCTAGGCAAGTGTTCTACTGCTAAAGTACATCCCTAGTCCAAGATGTACTTGTTTTAAATTCTAGAAGTTAGTTATAATTTTGTGATTTTTTTTTTACTACATTCAAATTGGTTACTCCTTATATATTATAGCTAAATTTTTCCTATGTTATTTTTAATTTTTTGGTTGTTATTGCCAGGCATAGTGATGCATGCCTGTAATCTCTGCTACTTGGGAGGATGAGACAGAAGGAATGCATATTCAAACCAGCCTGAGTAACTGAGAGAGATCCTACCTCAAAATAAAATATAAATGAAAATAGCTGGGAATGTAACTCAGTAGTAGAGTGCCCACCTGTTGGTTTCTATGTCTTTCATGTTAACTGACTATATTTTCTAGAGAAAACTTTTCATAGCCTTGGAATGTGAAGACCAGATTGGCAGCTTCTGAGTCAAAAGGGAAAATCAGATGGAGAGGCTTGTCTTGGCATTTAATAGTTCTATTGTCCATATACTTTCATTATTCTTGCTCTAGAGATACCTCTTATTTTAGTCTTTCTAAAAATTAAACTTCTAGTTTTCTGTAATGGGAAGAGAAAGGTGGAAGTAGGAGTGCATGAGCGCAATATTTTGATACAATTTTTATCACATTTTACTTATTGTAGTTCTTTTCACCTCTGGTACCTTATTCTGCTAATTGCTGAGCCTTTGGACAGTTCTGTTGTGCAAATGCAGTAGTTTTATTTCCCCACAGCTAGTTTGAAGTTTGGTCTCTTTGCATCTGCTAAGTCAGTGGCTTCTTTGTCCATAAGTTCTACAACTTCTAAGATAATTTTTCTGTCCTTATCCCCACCTGTGTAAATTTATGACACATAAAATTAAATGACAGACATGTCTTTATTGTACTTTAGAGGGTTTGTTAGGCAAGAGCAAAATCAGATGAGTTCAGGTTATTTTTTATCAGAAACTTCAGGTATTTTTCCTCTGGAATAGAAATACTTATTTTCTTTTTGTATTTTTATTTACTTTCATTCTTGACACTTGATTTTGTCAAATCCAAACACAACAGCATTTTGGAGCTTGTAAGGGAAGGACTTTCTGTGGAAAACTGTTATTAATTTTAATGTTTTGTTATGCCTTGAGTGAAGGGAACTGTGATGAAGAGAGCATGCTTCAGCTTTCCCTTCTACAAGAAGATTATTTGAAGAACCCTTATAATCATCAGGGTCTTGCTTCAATCTGAGTTTTTCTTTAGACCTTTGGAGTGTAACAGCAAGAATGAATTGGCTCCTTTGGGATATTGGCACTATTTGAACTCCAGCAAATTTCCAAAACTTTGGTATTTTCCTTGTTTGCATCAGTTGTCAATTAATATAAAATTTTGTTTCCATTTTAGACTTGAAAGCTAGGTAATGAAAATGAAAAAATAATTCATAAAATTAGTAATCCTTCATACCATTATGCATTTATTTGCTAAGTGTTTGTTGAATATCTGTGATACACAAGGCACTGTATTGGGAGCAACAAGAGAGTAAGCTCTCTGGTTTATTGAAAGGTTATAATTTGATAAACAGAATAAAGGAGCATACATGAAACAAGTACAGTAATCCACCTGTACTGCAGGGGATACATTCCAAGCCCCCAGTAGATGTCTAAAACTTGAAATAATACTAAACTCTGTGTATACTGTTTGCTTCTATACATATACAACAGATTTAATGCATTTTCCATCTTAACTAAGCAAATGTCAGGCATTGTGGCCATTATCTCTATAATTCCTTTTGCAAAACTAGCGTGGATTTCTTTCCTTTCCTCACAGTTTCACAATTAGAAGATTTGTTCCTACCAGAGATTTTAGTAACCTTAGCATAGCATTGTTTTTCCTCTCCTTAGTAAGAACTTTCTTGCTTTTCTTCGACATATCTGAATTGCCAGCATTACTCCTGTAATGCTTTGGGGCCATATTGAATAAAACAAGGGTTATTTAATGTATTAGCTACTTTCCCATCACTGGGACAAAATAACTGATACCTGCAGCTTAAAGGAGGAGAGGTTTATTTTGGCTCACAGTTTAGTGGATTAGTCTATAGTTGGCTGGCTCCTGGCAGAGGAAAGCTGCTCATGTCATGATCAAGAAGCAGAGAGAGAACAGAGGAGCTGGGGATAAGAATACACCCTTCTAAATCATGTCCCTAGTGACACACTCTTTCTGACTGGATCCCACCTCCAAACAGACTTTTGGGGGATATTTTAAAATTAAATCATAAAATTCCACCAAAAGGCTCATGTCTGTTACATTATACAAAATATATTTATTCCATCTCTAAGAGTCACTTAAAGTTTTAACAGTTCCAGGATTGTTGAAAAGTCCAAGTCCAAAATCTCCTTTGAGACTCAAGGCAAGCTCATAGCTGTGAACCCCTACAAAAAGAAAAAAGAAAATTAAATACTTCCAACGTATGATGGCACAGGATAAATATTCCTATTCCAAAAAGGAAACAAAAGAATGGCCAGAAACCAGACCAAAGCAAGATCAAAACCAGGCAGGACAAGTGCTAAATCCTGTACTTTCATGTCCAGCATCTAGGGCACCTTATGGTGAGATGAGATGTTCAAAGGGCTTAGGTACCCCACCCCCCGTGGCCTTGATGTTTGCAGTCTACATAATTTCTGCTTTAGGCTGGTGCTTCTTGCAGCCTTCAGTTTTCTTCAGCAGATCCTCTACATTCCTAGTATCTCTGACTTCTTAAGATCTCCATTGCATCTTCAGCTTTATACTCACAGCTGTATTCCCTTTTGGGCAAACATTGCCTGGACTCACAGGCCTTTCTTTGAAATCTGAGTAGAAGCCTCCGTGACCCCACAACTTTTACATTCTG